ATACGGGGATTCAGTTCAGTATGGCCTGAATAAAAGTCTGCATTATAAAGCGGGGCCTTTCATCGCTTTTGAAAGCTATTATCAGGGGTGGTATTTGTTTATCTGCCTGATATAATTAGTAGTTAATGTAAGAAGTCTTTTTGTTGTCAGTGGTTCCTCCTGCTATCAAAGCGGCCATGTCATTTTTAAGCTGAGCTGAAATTAAACCAGATTATTATTCATTCAAATTATTTCTCCGTTTCTGATTGGCTAGAATCACATGCATAATTCATCATAATCAGCTACTGTTCACCAAGCTTGGAAGAATTTTGCCATATTGAACCAATGACGTCAAAAGTGCAGCAAAGTTGCAGATTATTGAACCATTAGCCAAGAAGACCTGGGGAAGAGATTGAGTTCTTTTCGGAGTGAGCAATGGCAAAACATTTTACTCGCAAATTGTTATCGAATGGTTCTGATCACAAGGAAAACAAAGCAGGATCGGTTTTTGTCGATTGTTTAACAAAACAGGAGGTCAACTTTAAAACTTTGGTCCATTTTTTTCCAGTTGCAATCCGTTTCCATCCTGGGCATCAAAACTCAAAAATGTGCGCATACATTACAGTTGACCCTTTCTCGTCCCAGGAAACTCCTAGAGGCCTGAGTACGAGTACCAGGACGCTTTGGGAACACAGGATTTGAAGTCCAAGATTTGAGGACTTCCGGTCATTTCTGATTTTTTGCAACGTTTCTATTATCAGTCACTTGCTATTGCCCAAGTTTCATCATCTGTAAATTTAGGTGATTCAAAGCTTTAAAAAGAAAATCCGAATTGGAAATGACCGGAAGTGCTAAAATCTAGGACTTCAAATGCTGTGTCAATTTGCTGTGTCCCTCGTGTCCCCAGAGCTGCCTGGTCCTCGAGCTCAGGCCCTTAGGAGGCTCTGGAGAAGAGAATGCAGTTGACCCAGTCGAACAATTTTGAATACCGTATTTCCTCGAATAATAGCCTGAGGCGATTATTTCTTTTTTCGCACAAAAAGGGAGCGATTATTCGAGGGAAGGCGATTATTCGAGGAAGGCGATTATTTCACATATTGTTCACTGGGAGTCGTGCTCTAAATATTTTGTTTCATCTTCCCATTAAATCGAAAAATAATCACATCAAATAAACTGAACATGGGCTTTTTAAGTGTTCCAAATTTAGTTCCTTGATTAATTCGTCACTGATCAGTTTTGCTGGATCACATTGCACTTCAACTTGACGGGATCAGGAAGAGACGATGGCGAAAGGGGCGGGGGGCGGGGCGATTATTCGAGGGAGGCGATTATCTTAAATATTTCGTCAAAGGGGGCGATTAACCGAGGGACGGCTATTATTTGTGGAAATACGGTAACACTGAACCAGTATTTCGGCGTTTTCTTTGATTCCAATGTGTTTTTTGAGTTTAAGAGTAATAGCAAAAAGAGATTTATATAGTAACATAGCTCTAATTACCTTAAGCAAATCACTGCTTTCTACACTTCTTCTCATTCCCTCTGTACTACTTGTGCCTTTTTTGTTGTCGTTTACCTAAAAAATTAATGTGCAAGTTAAAAATGACAGGACAATTTATTATTAACAAAGGTTTACTTTAGTCCATATTCTAACTCTGTAACACACAAAATACCTCATAAAACGTCACTGCGATGTACAGTGGAACCTTGATACATTACAAAGATTTTGTTACCTCTGCGTCCTGCGTCCCTGACGCATAAAAATCCCCAAAGACGGAAAATAATTCATGGCATGCGTCCCGTAGGACACAAAGATCGTTCGACTGACCTGAACATGTGTATTTGTAAAAATATCCCATTCGTGTAATTTCTGTGGCAGTTATTATGGCTGTCGTTTAACGATGCATATTTCTTCTAGCCTTTTTTTAAAAATTTGCTGTGCTTTAAGATAGAAGGAATACAGAGTGTTGTAGTCTGTCTTCAGATTAACTGTCTGTTTACATAAAGGCCCAAGCATTTTCATTTTTCATTTTCATTTTATTGGGACCCATTGGTTCCCGACTGCGACTCATGATTTTTCACAAGATGAGTCCTAGGACTCACCATAATTATTTGTAACAAAATCACTCTACAACGAATCTCTATAACGATTTTCTTTACCTCAGTAACAGTAAAATATATGAAAAAGAACCTCGATATAACGAACCTCATTCTAGCGAAAATTTTGTCAGTCCCCTGGCTCTTCGCTAAAACAAGGTTCCACTGTATTTTTAAAAATTCAACATGTATCTCTATGTTGCAAATAGGTATGGAGGACCCCACCAACTGCAATTGCGAATTACATCAAGACATACGGGGGTTTAAACTGGAGGTATTATTTCTTTTCATACACAGGATGTTAATCATTCACAGGCAGGCCTCCAGTATTGTGTCTCTGGTAACCATAACAAATGAGTTTCAAGATTCAGATTTTTTCAGTACTATCCACCATGTTAGAGGCTCCTTTTGTCTTCTTGAGTGAGAAGTCCTGAGAAAAGGCGACTCTGCCTGAATCACGTCAAACCTTTGAATTGTGGCAGCCCAAACTTCTGGACGAGCTAGTCAATTTTGTTTTCTCTCGTCAAAGCGGTTTTTTCGAGTGCGAGCATCCGTTCATTGAAAAACCGACGGTCATAACCTAGCCCACTATAGCAAGATCATGGAGCCGAGCTATTAGGCCTGGGTTCCAAACTATGTTGCGCATGCTAAACAAAGATGCAGAGTCTTTCTCGAGTACGCCAAAATTGAGCAAGCGAAAGAAAGGCTCTGCTGACAGGGCGCCATGTTAGAGGCAATAGTCTGCTAAAAATCCAGATTTGTGCATTCTTAGCATCACTGTGAAACTCTGTTATTTTCCAAGGCTAAGGAGGGAAAACATGACAGTATGAGCAAGGTCCATACTGCTTTTGGCCTGGTCATCGCATCTGGACACCATCTCAAAATTATTTTGAGGCGTGTACTTACTACCAGTATAAGTACTCTCAATCCTGGCCAGTGCTCTTCTGAGGCAACCTGAAAACAAAGAGGTTGTAGATATAATGCTGACCCAAATAATTAACACTCACTTCAGTTGCTCCAGAAAACTATTACACTGCCATACAATCTAGACTTGGGATGGGGTGTGGAGTTTTGGCTTCTACACAATAACACTAGATAAGGTTTGCAGAATATGCAGCTGAGCATGGACTGGTAAAGTCATTTCAGTTACTCCAGAAATCTGTGGCACTACATTACGTACAATCAGCGACAAAATTGTTGAGACAAAGCCCTCAAATGTGGTAACTTCGTAGACCAAAAAAAACCACACCCCTACCCATCCCACCAATCAAAGTTAGGGTGTTTGTCATATTTTACATGTACAGGAAGCTTGAATGGTGGCCCAACATTGCATGGAGGGGGTGGGGATTGGAAAGCTCTATTTTCTCCCTTTTGAAGTCAGTAAAACATCAGAAAGGCCATTTAGGGCAAAGTATCTCTACTAACTTTGTCACCGATTGTAGTCTTGGCGTTGGGTGTGGAGTTTTCCCTTCTAGATTAGGTTAGGTTTACAAAACGCAGCTAAGCATGCCCTGGAATAGATTGACAATGTCAGGTTACTTTGAAGGCAATTGTTAGTCACCTGTTTAGCAATGCTGTCAGAACCATCCTTCTTTTCTCCTTTCTCCCACGCTACAAAGCCTCCATACATGCTGCGGCAAGCACTTCCTGAGCCCTGTCTGAACAAGAAAAAATTATTAAAATTAACAACTGGAAATAAATAAAAACCATAAGAAAGTCCTCTTCTAATTTCCAATAGAATACCTTCCAAAAAACTATCAAATCTGCCTTTTTTATTGTTATTGTATATTTTAAATGTTTATTCTCCTGCAATTATCAACACTCAAACAGGTACAGGTGAATGTACTTTCTTTGAAGTGGGGCTTGAAGGTTGCGAAAGAGGTTTTAGGTGGCTATTGAAAACCTGGATCAGGATGCATCAGATCAACCCTGCAACCCTTTCCCTAGTTTCCTGTCTTTAAATGAGTTACAGCTCAATCTGCATAATTCTTCACATAACACTCAGCCTCATTCAATAATTTATTTTATTACTCATTCAAAATATTTCTCCTTTTCTGATTGGCTAAAATCACATGCATAATTCATCATAACCAGCTATTGTTGACCAAATTTGGAAGAATTTTGCCATATTGAACTGATGACGTAAAGTGCAGCAAAGTTGCAGATTATTGAACCATTATTATAAACTGCGAAGACCTGGGGATGAGATTGAGTTGTTCTGGTAGTGAACAAATATGGTGGAACATTTCAATTGTTTCACCAGGGAGAAATAGGTGAACTGTTGGCTAAAAACATAGGAACAACAGCAAGGAGACAACTCGAAGGGCGACATCAGCTATTTGGAGAATATCAGTTTTGCAGAGATGAACAACCCTTTATCTCCTAAACTTGCCAATTAACGTGCACTATTGAAGATGAACTTTACCATCAATGTAGCCTGCGTGGCAGGCGCAAAAAGGGGAGGGAGAGGGGGAGGGAGAAAAGCACCCTACCCTACCCTCCTCCCTTTTTTCCTTTTTCCCTATCCCCTACCCCTTTCGAAGCCTGCTACAGAGGCTACCATCAATGGAGGTAAAAAGCATGTTTTAGCTTGTTTTTAAACTAGGAATTATTTTGAATGAATATTTTATAAAATAATTATTGAATTCGGCTTTTGTATCATGGAGATTTCTGAGGGTGTTATCCACCGAGGCTGTAGGCATTTTACCTTGCAATGCCCGAAAGTTCACCACTGACTCGAAATAACTTTGAAAGAGCAAACACTGCAGAGACAAACAACAATGGACACATAAATGGTAATAAAAAGATTTTAAAAATCAAAGAGATATGCAGTGTTTTGATTTTAACAAAACTGTTCAGAGTCCCTGTTGACAAAATCATGATAGACAATTCACCAGCTCACTGCAGAATATAAATTTATTAACATTATTTTTTGCTTGGCTTTAACCTAAAACCAGTGGAGATATTGAAAACCAAGAGGGCGCAAAATAGTAAGTGAAATACAGTTTGCTTCAACCTTACTGGAATTGAAGGAAAGAAATGTCTTAATAAAAATTTATGGGTGCACGAATTTCAAGAAAATCCTCATTCACATTATTTTGGAATTTTTAGCTAAATCTTAATTAATCTCTCAAGGTCATTGTCCTACAAGGATCACTTCACTCTTAAGGGCCTGGAGTAGACTTATCATTGCCAACTAGTTCCAGTTTTTAAAGATGGGTGACCTTAAATATGAGTGCAAAAAATGTAACATTGTACCATTTTTAATTTGCACAGTCACACATTGCCATGGTATGCTTGTGGTCTTAGTAGGGCACATGATCAGAAAAACTTGTGCTTTGTTGTTGTTATATTTTTGGTGGCCATTAAAAGGTTGAATGTATTGCCAGCGTCCTTCTTAAGTGTTTGGGACCACTATTGTTACGTCAGGTGTCAGGAGAAATCAAGCAAAAATCTTCAAGCAAGAAATTCAGCACCTTTTAGTTGGCGCTTTAGACGTTTTTGAGAATTTGGATCGTGATACAGTGACAGGATTTGAGCAAATAATGCCAACCACACCAGGAGAAAGCAACAGGGCCAAGAGCAGCAGCACAGCAACACCTCCACGCCCTGCAGCACTGAAGCAAATATATATTTACCTCTAATTATGTCCCAGTACCTCCTAGACTAGACCTTTGTGGTGACTTAGCAAAAGTCTTAGAGTTGTGGAATAATTACTGCATACATAGGCAAGAGTAATATGATTTATGAACACTACAAATTTTATCTTAGAGCAAAAGAACCCACCAAAAAAATTGAAACCTATGCATCTGCACTTCGCACAATGGCTGATACCTGTGCCTTTGGATCCCTCGAGGAAGAAAATAATGATTAAAGACTGACTCCTATGTGGTATTTCAGACAGCGGACCACGCAAGAAGCTGCTGTAAGAAGCAGACCTTATATTGGAGAAATGCATGAACTATAGCAGATGAGGCTGCAAACAGCCAGCTGAAAGAGATTGACCTCCAGCCAATGCAGAGGCAGTCAACTGAATGACTACAAAAAGGCAAGGGCAATGAGAGTGTGCAAAAACTGTGACAGAAAACATGAGTGAGGAATGGAGAAATGCCCAGCATATGACAAAACCTGTACGAAGTGTTTCAAACAAAACCACTTTCATTCTGTCTGCCTACAAACAAGACAGGAGGCAAGCTGCAGTTAGAAGTTGACAATAAAGTGACACCTGTTGTAGTACCACCCCGGCGTGTCCCTGTGGCAATTAAAGTAAGATTGAAGGAAGAACTTGATGACCTTGAAAGCCTGGAAGTAATCAGAAGAGAAGATGAACCTACAGAATGGGTATCCAGCATGGTTGTGACTCAGAAGCCAAATGGAAAAGTTTAATAGGGTTTGCCTCGACCCAAAGCACCTAAATCAAGCATGGAAGAGGAGACACTACCCACTACCTGTGGCGGAGGAAATTTTGCCAGAGCTATCCAAAGTAAAAGTGTTCGCAAAAGCTGACCTGAAGGATGGATTCCTTCATATACAACTTGACTAAGAGTCCAGTAAGCTCACGACATTTCATACCCCTTGGGAAAGGTTCTGGTGGCTCTGCATGCCATATGGTATCTGCTCAGCACCAGCCTGTTTCCAATAACAGCTCGACCAATGCCTTGAAGGGCTGAAGGGAGTGTATAGGATAGCAGATGATTTACTCATCATTGGCCAAGGGGACACTGATGAAAAGGCTGTCCTTGGCCATGACCAAAACCTGAAGAACCTTCTAGAGCATTGCAGGGGAAGAAATATAAAGCTGAACAAGAGGTTCCAGTTCAAAAGCTGTGAAATGTCATTCATTGGCCATGTAATGATGATGAATTGGTCTGAGGGCAGATCCTGAGAAAGTTGAAGCAGTTATCAAGATGGAGCAACCAGCAGATGTACCAGCAGTGCAGAGATTCACTGGGCTAGTGAAGTACCTGTCCAAGTTCCAACAAGACCTATCAGAAATGTGCGAGCCATTGTGGACATTGAACACTTTATCAAACTGCTGAATTTGTTTATTCAGAGTTTCCCAGTCAGTGCTTGCATTGTTGTTGCATTGTAGCTAGTCAACTCTTAATGTAATAACGTTTTTTTTCTTAAAGGAGGATTAAGATGTCATGTTATACCTGTGGTCTTAGGTAACGTGATCAGAAAAACTTGTGCTTTGTTGTTGTTGTAATTTTAGTGGCCATCAAAAGGTTGAATTTATCACCAGCATCCTTCCTAAGTGTTTGGGACCATTATCATTAAAGGTTCTAACTGTTGTTCTGAAGAGAAAAGTGTCTTGGAGCCACTTGATTCCTTAAACCTCAATCGCTGGCAGTAAAAATTCATATTTTTCCTGTTCTGAGGCCATAAAACCTTTTACTACTTCTGAGGCAATCTCATTTTTTAAAACATGATTTCTTTCTTAGCCAGTTTAATCAATAATGTAAAGAAAAAAAGGCAAATCAAGGGGTTTGAAAAATTATATCAATACCTACTCCGCAGAAAGCTAAAATTTTGTGGGGAGAGTTCCCAGAGACCCAAACTGATTAACAGGAAAAGTATCAATACCCACCCATAAAAATAAGAAATATTGAGAGGAAGGGTGTCTTTAATGACTTAAATGCCAAAATGTTTTAAGAAACGTGTGACACTACCATAATGAAGTAAACTGGAATTTGCAGAGAGGGTGGGATTTGAAACCAAAACAATCCAATGATAGGGGTAGTACATGTATGGTTCTTTTCTGGAGCTACACAAGCCCCTTAAATGAAAGTTTTTCACATTTTTTTTCTAGTCAGTGGGAGTTTAAGAAGGACGGCAACAAGTCAATTCGTACACATGTACCTAGGCAAGAATAGCCAGCAGCTGAGGATGCCAGTCCTGCTGCTGTCGGAAAGTTGTTCTCAGAACAGATATGAACACGACAGTCCTTGAGTTCTGACCACCTGCTGTTAAGATGATCACTCTTACACAGTTCTCGAACTAAAAATGAATTAGAATACACACAGTTAAATATCCTGCAGGAAATGCTAACACCAGGGGTAATATCATATTTTATTAATACATTGATCACTGATAAGGACCACTGTACATAAATATTACAGGTTAATAAAGCTTCTTGTTCAATATCAAAAATATCAGACAGACAGCATGCACCTTCCAATAATTTTATTGAACCAAACGACCAAAAGAAATCCCTAGCCATTTGATTCCTCACCTACTTGTTGTATTTGCAACTTTAAATCTTAGTGACAACCCTGAAAATAAAATTGTTCATAAAGGAATTATGTGTGCTTTTTCCTTTTGCAAAGAGAAGTCACTTAGAATTTCACCATAACCTGAACTCTGATAAAAGTTTCTTAGAATCATTTTGAGATTAGATAATGGCTGAAAAAGCCAGCTTTACAACGATAGCTCAACATCGCAACAAACGTTTATACAGCTATTTCGAGAAAGGTTGTCCGAAAAAATGTGCACGCGACAATCCCAAAAGGTAATGCGGGATATGATCAATACCCTGTTCCCAACACTGTAGCTGTCGAACCTACGGTACTATTGTTGTTTTCCTTTAGCACTTAAATCATCAGTATAACAAAATGTTTTTTTCAATATCTAATTATGTATCAAAAATCTCACTTTTTAACAGGCACTTTTGAATTCTGGGCATCTCAGCAATTTCTTGCTTCCTATACATAAATAAAAAAGATTGGAAGGTAAAACCTTATGGACTGATTACGAACATTCACCATTGCAAGTCATCAACAAAGAGAAGAAATCCTTTATTAAAACCTTAAGAGTGATAAGTATAAAATTTCTCCTTATTTTTAATATTCTCGCAAAGCGAATTTATAAATTTGTTGCGCACGACAACAGTTGCTAATTAAGGCATGATATTGCTTTGGTCATAAATTGTAATATCAAAATAATAATAATAATATAACAATATTATTATTATTATTATTATTATTATTATTATTATTATTATTATTATTATCATTTTGATATTACGATTTAAAGGTTTTAAAAGTGTGGCAACATCCTCATCCTGGGACCCAGACTTTCAGTCAAATTCCTGAGGAAATAATCGTTATTTTTTTCAACAATACTGTAGAGACATAAAAAAGTGAAAGCACAGCGTTTATACAGCTCTCACCTTCCATTAAGCCATAAACAGTCTTCCGAAAATTTGTGGCTGGCTGCGACAGTGGTAATGGAGTGCAGCTTAAAGCAAATCAAACACGGGTGTTTTTGGTTAAGTTTATAGCACTTTCAATGACAAATAACTGTCTAGAAGGGCAATTTTACACATACAATGGAATAAGTCCTACCTCATCGTTATTGAGAGTGGCACTAAGGGAAGAATTCAGTGGTAATATGAGTTCCTCGTCTCTTTTCCCCCCTATAAAGAAAAATAACCAAAAAATGCATTTCTAATCTTACATAATAAAAATTAACACATAAAACCATTTTATTTTATTTTACTTACAATATTTTATGACGGCAATATTTACTGGGCTCTGGCAAGTAACCATATGAACGTAATTACCCTTGCTTTGTAAACCCAACTCCTCCGCCATCTTGAATGTGAACGGGTAAGCCCTGGGAACGACCCACGAGGTGAAGGTTACTACTTTATGTAAGACAATGCTACTGAAAGTGCACTGATCTAATTTCTTCGAGGCCCAAATCTCAAATTACACAGTACAAAATGCAGACTGCAGACTGACTGCAGACCATTGTTTTCAGGGGTAGAGGACAATGCGTTTATTGTTGTTTCGTTCTCATTTGCATGGTGAGAACAATGGTTTGCAGCAGTCTGCAATCTGCATTTTTTACTGAGAACTGGCTCAAATATTTTCTCTTGCGTTCGGCAAAATGTCGCTCCCAGCTCTACCCTCTCTGCCTGGAATAAAAGGCTCCTGCACCTGCGGTGAAGAGGAAAGGGAATGAAAAAGGAGAAAGGCCAAGGGAACACACATTTGTTTAGCCTTTTGGGGTAGCTAGAGTCTGGTCCCAGGCAACAATGGGGACACTTTCTGTCGCAGGAGTACTACAGGAATCTTATTCGAGAAAATTATAATTCTAATATTATCAAAATATTAAAGCTATATCGACTGAATTTTCATTTCCCTGTCGGGTTTCATTACCCACTGCAAGAGCAGGCCCCAAAAGGATTTGGCAAATTTTTGACGAGCTCTTTCCTGGATTTAGATGACCAATGACGTTATTTCTAACCTGTACCTCCGTAGCCTGTGAACAGCAGGCGTATTTCCGGTCGTCGCTTCTCCCCTGGGGGCGTCAGGACGTGCCTTGTGGGAGCCACGCAGTCATGATGATTTCTCGTGATTTCCTGAATTCCGCCCGCAGTTTCAATTACCTGTTCTTGGCGGGATCGGGACAACAGACGGGACAAGGGAGACGGGATAAAATTCGCTATTGACCAATCAGGAAAAGGCTAGAACAGGCGCCGCGTGAAGCCAGCGGAGTACACACATGGTTTGTGCAAAAATCCCACCTTTCTTCAACCGATGTTTATAGTGAGACTGTTACACAGTGTAGATATATTTCCGGTCAAGGGTTTTCTTGGGAATCTGAAGTTCAAGCTAGAAGTATCATTCAAAGGGAT